TTACCTTCACAATACCAGTGACACATCTTCCTCAAATTCTGTTTTCTGTCAGGAGCTTTCAAAGGACTTTCCCAAGGAGAGCAGTAACAGCAAGATTTGGATTCTGATGGGAAACCAAGTCACAGAAAATATGTAGACTAATTCACAGCCTGCTCTGAGGGGAAGGGGTGTCACTAGAGCCCTCTGCACAGAGATTCACAGACCCCTTCTTATGCTGCCTCTCCATCCTCGAGTATGAAGGTCTCAGAGCTTCCAAACATCAGGAGTAGGGTCCTCAAGTGGGGTACCAGCAGCCGAAGAACCTTTGTGAGCCTGGTCACTGTGAGTTGGTGACAGGTTTAGGACTGAAGCCCTGTTCACTGTTTGTAGCTGCAATGTGCTGTGTAACTTTCTTGTCAAGGCTCCTTTCCTAACTGAGAGTACTAAGACCAAAGACAAACTCCTTAATTACCAACATTCACTGCTGGCATCCAAGCTCTGTCTGTCGGGGCTGGAAGAGGAAGGAGATAGTATTTAGAGAGCCAGAAATTCAGGAACCAGTACTTCTCAAACCTACAGCTGAGTGCAACACGCTGACATCTGGCTGAAACTCTTGGCAGTTCACTTGGGTGATGCTGAAACACTCCAGCAACTCTGCTAAGAAATAAACAGAGCCAGGCAGGTACAGGCTCTATAAATGGATCTCACCCACCAAGCTCATCAGGCCTCCTGACAGATACACATCTCGCAGGCTGGTGCCATTTGCTCTATTGTAGTCTCGGTGATACATTAATGTTTGAAGATTAAGTAGGCTTTTCAAGCAGGCTTTTAATGCTATGAGACAGTCCTTTCTGATAGCAATTCTTGCACATTTTGAATTACTGATTTATTTTGTCTAGTTTTAATCTGATCCCTTGCTTCAGACTCATTCTCATAGTGCAAACTGTGCTCTCATCCAGAGCGACTCCTTCCTTGAGATTATTTTGATAAATGCTTGTATTCAGCTTCCTACCAACATGAATTCCTCAAGGGAAAATTCTCCTTAGGTAATCTACTGATGTTCAAAGGATTGAGTCTGGAGGATCTGAAGATCCAAATCTCAGCACTTTATCCTTTCAAGGTGGAGAAGCCAAGTCTTGTATGATTTTCTAATGGCAAGTCTCACCACACCTGCTGGGTTTAAGTTTCGGGTCCTTTGCTGCTTCTTTAGAAGAAACTGGCAACACAGGCCAAATCTTGTCTTTTTCATCTCATTTTGGTTGCTTGCCATCCACAGAAATGATTTCATTTTTGCACAAAACTTAGAAATGAAAGTTACTCTATATGTACCAGTAATGGACAATGTAATTCAATGATTGATGATCAACTTACTTATAGTGTGCCTTAGTTCTACCACTTGGGATAAAACATTTGAACCAAAATGTGTTCCATCTTACCTCTAAGATAGCAAATGTAGGCAAAAAATATAACCTTTAATCCTGGGCAGTTCTGTTTAATTTACCATGCGGGCATTTGCGATAAGTTACCACCATCTCTGAAGTAAAAGAAAACCAGGGAGAACAGCTGTGTGGGGCTCTCTCAGAAGTGGTGGAGACTGGAGAAACTGGGGACCAACAGCCACTGTCTGTGCCATTTTGGAGAAGTGCAGAAAAGCTTTTTTTGTCATTTGATGAGTTACTTCTTACTGTCATTAGTTTCAACCTCACAAGGTGAGCAGGACCATTTCACATACTCCTCAGCTTATCTGAAGCTGTATGTTGTGCACCTGGAATAGACAGAGGCAATTTTTTAAAGCATGGCATGGAGACCGGAGGAGGTCAAGCTAAGAGGAAATCAATATCTGGGAAATTGCTGCAGGATCCTAATGCTGTGTCCTTTGTCAGCGAAGGATTGGCACTGAAATAAAACTAGCTGGCATGTGTTTCACCCAAGAACCCTGGGGAGGTTAGGTCTGCATGGATGTGACTCCAAAATCCAGCAGATCCAGCTGCAGAAGGTACCTGTGGCAGCTCATACCTGGCTGTAGACTCCATCGGGCTTGCACTGGTGTAGGCTTCGGTTTAGGGAATAAATAGACACCCACTGCGTGTTGCTAACTTGAACTAATGATCTGTGGGAGGTAATTGAAGTGTTACATTCCTCATGATTTGGGAGCCAGCTGCAGTAGGGAGGAGAGGTGGGTAGAAACTGGGAAGGTTCTAGGGACAAAGCAAGAGATATTCTAAAGAGAAAAATCTGTTTGTTTTGCAAAACAAGTTTGTCATCTGTTGTGCCAAATTATTATTGATACTACCCCTAAAACGAAGTTCCCATGAGGAATACCGTCACACGACTAGTATGTTTAGACTTTGAATGCCACTGATAGGCACAGAGCAGCTCTCGGGCTGTCAGGAGTGCAGAACTGCAGCCAGAGCCACCCTCCTGCATGTGCAGGGGCTACCAGCTCTACCTGCCTGACTACCCTACCAAAAAAAATGACCATGAGAACAAAGACCACAGTAGCCAGCTCAAATGTACACTGCAACATGGATGGATGCAAAAGTGGCTCCAAACAACACTGGACCCTATCACAGTCTGTAGCATCTTTATGCAGAGACATTAGCAGCCAGAGGACCCATCGTCGGACTCAAGCTGAGGCTGACCTGCCAGCAGTAGCAGGGATCACAGCCATGGCTGCTGCAGGGGAGGTGGCCGCATTAGCCGGATGGGTTGCTCAAGGAGTCTGGCAAGGAGCTCCACAAATGACCCTTCAGCATCCTGGGAAGATACGAAGGTTTTGACTAAAGCTGGGACTGGAAATCCCAAGGACAGAAAAGCTGCTCATAAATAGACACTATTTCAGAACTCCTAAACTGGATACACCCGACAGAGCCTGGAGGGGTTTTAGAAATTTCTGCTGCCTCCTGCAATTAAGCTGAAGTCATAAAGAGAGCTTCTTGTTGTGTGAGTCTTGCTGGGTCCAGCTGTGCATGACAGGAAGTCAACCCAGGCAGCGCAAGGAAACCCCTAGGACGATGGAGCTTTATATAGCCTACTTTGAAAGCAGAACACTTGAGATATGGATGTGAATCACAGCCCTCCTAATCCAAGCTGGGCAGCAGGCAGCTATAAACAGGTCAATTACAGACTGATTCTCCCTGAGCTGAGATATTGCCCAGTATCTTACAGCAGCTCTGTGTAAGGCAGTGGGCCAGGTGGATAGTGAATTAGTTCAAAACCACACTAAAGGATAACACCTTGAAATAGTGTTGGCTCTCAACTGGTTTAATAACACGGTCTGATTCATCTGTTCAGCCAGTGTAGCAACAAGACAGTGGAAGAAAAATAAGTCATGCTGAAAAATTGGTACAACTGGCCTCACACATGAGAGAACATGAACAGATTGTTTCAAAAAAGCAAACAAAAATCCCTTTGCAGTTTGCAGAGATAGCACACAGCTCTGTGCACTCCTACAGGGATTTTGGAAAACCTGCTCTGTGTTACCCAGACATCCCCTTCTACAGTGTTCACGAGTAGATGAGACAAATGATATACCTGCCTGATTTGCATAGCAGATCCTCTCCCCATGAACAGGCTGGTGCCATTTGTTATTACAACTGGAGGAAGGTAGTAGTTCTTGCTTCTCCTCACATTGTTGTTCTGTTTCTGGATTCCATTAGAAGGGCCTTTGTCAGCTGCTTAGTTTAGGGTCAGCTCAAGCTCCTGCTTTGTTCAATTCTTTCTCATGATTTCTCTGCAAAGTTGCCTGGTCCTGATTTGATACCAAAGGGTACATGAGCACTCAAAGCAGGGAGAACCCCGAGGCATTGGTACACATCTGTCTAGGTACAGAGAGACTGTTATTTAACATTAGAGTCATTTGGTGTGCTGAGCTTACTCAAGCCTTTCCAACTGTTGGGTTACTGCTTACTGAGAGCCCACAGTTTGGAAGGAGGATATTGCTTCACTAAGAAGTGAGCCATAATCACAGTGCTGATCTCTCACCTCAGCAAGAAGCAAAGGGGCAATGGCAGAGTTAGACCAGCACTGAATGCTTTTGATCCCCTGCACACACAGGCACCCATGTGCATGCCAGATGCACTGTCCTTCCCTACAAGCCTTCTCTGCCACAGAGAGCAGTGATGAGTGCTGTGGTGCAAGGTGAAGGTATTCAGCAGCAGACAGATATGAGTCATCTCAACTGCTGAAACTTCTTACCAGCATCGAGTCACACAAGCCCTGAGACAGGAAGGTCTGGGTCCCCATCAATTCTGGGCATTATAAAGTCAATACGAAAAATCTGGCAGGTGGAGCTCATGCTGGCACCTCATTTTTAACTCCTCTGAACTGTCCTGGTCTTCTTGGCACCAAGGCTATGTGTTCTTTTTAATAGGGCTTTCATAAACCTTGTTCCAGGAATGAAAACAGCTGCCAGCGCATGCAGCACCCCAGGGAAGACCCTTGCCTTTTTCCAGAGCGCATGAACGGAGCAGGGCTCTCCAGCTGCTGTGTGCTTGATGTGAAGCTGTGATGTTTGCGAGGGACTGAAGCATGAACTGCCCCGCTAACGCTAGCAGGTGTGAGTAACAAAGCAGAAGGAGGAAAAGGCTGATAATCAAAGTAAAAGAAAATAGCAAAAAGATAAACCCTCCTGAGCAGGCAGTGTGGGAAAGTATTAATGGTTAACTCACGCTCATTGTGGAGTAAAAAGAAAAAATGCAATTGCAAAGGGAAAGAGAAGTTTACCTTGCAAAGCAAATTTGTCATTCACTCTGCCAGACTATCGTTGTTATTATTTGCCCTCCACTCTCTGAACAATAAAGGATGCAAATGACCCTCCACTACAGGCATAACCCTCTCCCCGCAACCTCCCCGCCTTCGTCCTTGCACACACACACAAAAGAGGATGCTAAACACAGCCTTTGAAATTCAGGAGGATAATTGATTCTCTGACGCGTAGAAGCCCACAGGACTCCTGAGGGAGCACAGGTATAAAAAGAGGAGATACACCTCTCTGGCAGCCAGAGGACAGCCAGGGGGAGATCTGAGAGTGTCCTCCCTGCTCAGCAGCGTCCCGCATCCCGCCCAGGCACCGCGGCGGGGACGGACCCAGCAGGGCTCACAGAAGCCGCTCTAGAGAAGTTGTATTTGCAACAGGGGAAGGGAACACCTGGGCAGGAGCTGATCTAGGAAGCACTTGTTTTCTAAGGGAACGGTAAGTGTGAGTCTCTCTATGTGCATTTAACAAGATAATATCTATTCAGAAATTGGAGACAATTAAATTACCCTGAAATGCAATCAAAGCAGGTATCAGTAATTAGCTTTGCCAGGTACAATATCCTTTGCACCATACAAGATATGTTTTGTACGAAGTTACAGAATGAAACAATTGACCTATAGGATAAATGCAAATCAATAGAATTATAATATAGATGAGCCTTGTAAAAAAACATGTTGGATGTTTACTGGCTGTAGCACAGTCTTCCTCTTTTGCTATACTGATGTGAGTTCTTTTTACCTGGAAAATGAATGCTGTTTTACTCACTCATCAATAAAACTGTGTTTAAGCCAAACCAAAGTGTGAGGAGAAACGCAATGGGTTGTTACAGATAATGCAAAGCCAGCTACAACGAGGCAGAGTAAGGCACTTAAAAGGATTTCTGCTTTTCTAACGTAGTATTTCATAGTATAAAAGTCTGAACTTTATAAAACAGCAGGCATGGAAAAAGCTCCGTTTCATCTACATAGTGGTATTTTTAAGACTGATTAGGTTAAGGTTTCAGAAACAGTAAGAGACAGTTACCCCATCTCTCCAACATCACTGTCACAATGCTGCTGTTAGTGTTGCACAGGATGGAATGAAGCTATTACGCTTTATCTGCTGAAATGGTGCTGAAAGCTCTTCATCTTAAGGGGAATTTATTTATTAATCATTTTTTCACATGCTGACAGAATGGAAAGTAAGGTGTCTCTCACCTCAGGAGAATTTTGAAGGTGACAAGGTTTTGCAGAGCTGTCAAGCTGCCTGTATGCAGGGTGACACTTCAATTCCCCAGCTTCTCTGAAATAGCAGACGCTTCTGGGAAGGGGTGTAAGACTTTCATTTCAGACTGCTTCCCAAGAGAAAAAGGGAGACAGAAATACCTAAAAAAGTAGGATGAGAAGCAGATTGTACTTAAGGGAGAGAAGATAAAGCAAGACGGAGGAAGAAAGGCAAAGCCATAAACAAACAAAGAATATTGCAAAGAAACTAATAGAGAATGAAAAAAAAATCTCAGAGGGACAAAAAGTGATTCTGGAGAAGAAGCTAGCATTCAAAGAAGAGAAACCAGATACAAAAAAAAGTGGTAATCAGGGCTGTATCCTAGGAAGAAAAAAGGGAAGCAGACAACATTGGGCTAGGTTTTCATTTACATTGATACTTAACTTCTCAGCTCACATAGCAGCTTTGCTGGCACTGATTAAATCTCCTGATTGGCACTTTCTATAGATGCTGGTGCCAGTCTTCTGGTACCCCCTCACAGATGCTTTAGATCATTTCTTCTATGTAGCAAGATCTGATGTGGGATTTGTCGTGGAGGTATTTAGGGGAGAAGCACAAAAGAGGTGTACTTTTTTCATTCAACTGAAAAAAAAACCCCAAAAAGCATGCAATAAATTTGCTCTAAAACCATAAGCCCTGTAAGTCTCTCAAAGTTACTTTTTTGCTTCTTCTGAGAATTCTTTGGCTTTCTGAGGGACCAGAGTGATTTGTAAGAGATCAGGTATCGGAGGTAGTGGATGCTACCCGTGAGTTCACAAGAAGCTGTGCTGGAGCCAGGAGCAGTGGTGCTGCTCCCGGGGAAGCAGTTGAGGAAACTGCTGGTCCCCAAGCTGGGAGCACAAGCAGCTGGAAACAGGGACTGGGCTGAGAATGGGTTTGTGATAAGAAATGCCACTTTTTAGTGCACCATCTTTCCCCATGTCTCTCCATGCAGTTCTGACACTGCCACTAATTCTGTTATTAACTTCCATGGTATCAAGACTGGACCCACTTGCAAGACCTCCAGTCCTTAGCTAGCCTCCCCCCTCACTATGGTGACCTTTAGTCAGGAGAGCGGGCAGCTACGTCTGAACAATAAACCAGGTCACTGCTGATATTCTCCATCCGAAGGGCCCCCTTCTACAACCACCGTCAGTAAAACCCAGTTTGAAAAGTTCACTTGGGCAATTAGAAGCCCAACCAAACCCTTTCCATTTCTGCAAGAAAGTATTGTTATACATTTGGAAGGGGTTTTTTTCCTCTTATGGAGATCAAACACCATTCTGCTCTTTTATTGTGTAAAATAAGACAGGGAACAGGGAAACTTGATATTTTAAAGATTTTTATCCACATTCTTAAAGAATCATTTTTGAACAAAAGATCAATAGCTTTCAATCAAAACTCAGGAAGAACGTTCACTGAAATACCTTCCTAATGTCCCTCGCTTCCAATGACAAAAGCGTGGCATTCAGCTCCCGAGGAGGGCAGCCTCAGACGACTGTCCTGAGTCATTCGCAGCACTCAGCCAGCCCCAGGACATGAAGCACTGCAGCCGTCTGTCTGAGGGCAGACACACATGGCTCAAGTCCATCTCCCCTTCCACCAAAGCCAGTGCTCAGAGCAGCGTAGGCGCCTCGCTGAGCGGCAGGGGGGCTGCTCTCCACACAGGAGCAGTTCAGCTCTCCCAAATAGACATATTTTGGTCCATCCCCCCTCTCCCAAGCACAATGGCTGAAGGAACAGTCTGTGTTTTGTTTGGCTAACCAAGCTCAGCACTGTTGCCTTTGATAAATGGGTTTGCCAGGATTACCTCTGGGCCAGTATTACCCCTCTGCCCAGGTATTTTATTTGGATTCCCCAGTCTCTGGACAGCCAGCAAGTCAGCTGTTAAGCACGGACCTGTGCTGTACAGCCGTGTGAGCAGACACACGTCCCTGTGAGAGCAGAGAGCGGGAGAGGTCCCAGGGGCTGGTTGCTGATGGTCCTGTGCAGGTGGTGAGGTTGCTTTTGGCAGCCCCTGCTAACTGCTGCCCTACAGCATCCAGGTGCTTTTCCAGCCCGTGCAGTGGTCCCTGGGGCTCACCTCAGCCTGAGAGCTCTCCTCCAACCACAGCAGTGGGACAGGGCAATAAGGGGTCCCACAGCACGAAGAGCTGCTGATCAGCCCTGCTTTCCAACCCAAGGGAGACACCAGCTCCCTGTGGGGTCACACACAGCCTCTGCCTCCAGGAATTGCACTCCCTGGGGAGCACTTTGCCACATCAATACACCCCTGCATCGGGAAACACCATAACCACACAGAGGCATGTTTCAAGTGCTGACACATGAGCAGAGGAACCAAAACCACAAAGGTGGCACTTGGCCTCCCCTCCTGGCCTGGAGCATCTCACTGCTGCTGACTCAGACTGCTCTGCCTTTCAGGTGCCTCCAAAGGCTGGAAGATGCTGGATAAGGCCACCCTGCTCTTGTTCCTGCATTTAGTGGCATGCTCCATCTCCTCTCCTCTCTATCCAGCTCTCAGGTAACCTGAGTATTTTATCCACACTGTCACTCCCTGACTCATCTCCGACCTTGTGCAAAATAAGCACGTGCCAAATTAAGGCTGCCAGTGCTTCTGAAAGCCAGATGTATGTGCCTTGGTAAGCCTGTTTCTTTGCCCTGGCTTAATTTTCTGGGTACACTGCTAGCCTAGGTGTGGTTTCCAAAGAAGGCAGGCACCTGAGGGAACATTTCAGCCCAAACAGTTAGTTTTAGAATTGAACACTGGGTTCTATAAAGGGAAATCTGGCAATTGCCAGAGCAGGCCACACCTGCAACTCCATCACTGGTTAGAATTTGTGCCCTGCAGGCCACCTGCATTGAAGTCAGAACTGCAGAAATTCTAGTACATGAACTCAACAGCTGTCTGTTAATATTTCAGGTATTTCCTTGTTGACTGTTAGAATTTGTAATATTATTTCCTACCACTACAAATCGATGGAAGCACAAAACCGAGCACTGGGTTCTATAATGTGGATTTGCAGTGTCCTGTACAACATGCTTTAGACTTGTGCTGAAGCCATGGGCCAAACGATACCTCAATTGCTGGATTTTTGCTCAAGGATGCTGAGATCTCATCAGATGAGCATGTGTGTTTTGAGGCAGCTTTATCAACCATCTTTTTATTGCTGAAATAGCATCTAGCTGGGGAGAGTTACAGGCAACACTTGAGTTACTGATGAGATGGGGATGGCAAAAGGAGAAAGAAAAAGCAGAACAGGGAGTAGTGGTCAAGAAGATGGATCTCTGACTGGCAACCGAGCACATCTTGCAGTATGCCTTGGCTCTGTCTTGCAGGTACAGTCCAGGGCTGGTTGCTGGCAAGGCCATGAACTTCCAGCTACAGCACAGCAGCCCATCGCAGAGCCAGAACCCCTCAGCAGAGGAACAGGAGGAGGAGGAGGAGGGTTTGTTAACAGACTCAGTTGAGAGAAGGTTTGTACCTCATCTCTCAGCCCCGCTGCAGCAAGAGTACACTGGGTACGATCTTCCCCCAGCCCAGGAACAGACCAGCAGGTCACTCAGTCCCACCAGCACCACAAAGTCCAGGCTCCAGGGAGAGAACCCAGCTGAGCCCTGCAACCAGAGCAGAAGGTTGGTACCGTGCCAGCTCTCACCATCACCCATGTCCAGGGCCACATCCTGCTGTCCCCCAGCGGCAGGGAGGTACTGACAGGAGCAGGGTCACAGGCCCAGGGCTCCTGCAGGGATCAGAATTTTCCACTGAGCTTTGGGCATCCATCCATACAGTTGTTAGAGCCTCTTCTTTCCACCCCTGCCAAGAGATGGAGGATGATTTTGCCTGTCTGAAGCACAGAGGACTCATCCTTACAACAGTGGGACCAGCCAAGTGGCTTGTGTTTCCCTTACCTGTGGATTTCCAGGAGCCTTCAGCCTCCTTCCTCTCCTGAGGCTGGAGACCTGCTGGAGGCTCCTGTCAGCCCATCCTAGACACAGCACTCCTAGGAGGTGCTGCAGCAGAGCACAGGAATGTCCCAACCCCAGCTTTGCCCTCTCTCGGCCTGTGGGAATCTTCCTCCTTTCCACTGGTTCTCTGACCTCACCGTTGGTTTGCAGGCACTTCTCTTTACTTGCCTTAGTGTGGATACTAATTAACAGACATTTTATTTTGCCTCCTGCCTCTGCATCAGGACTGAGCTCCCTCAAATCCTTTTATCCTCCAACACTAATGCATCCAATACCAAAAGGCGCTTGCTATGGTTACCTGCCTCTGATATCAGCAGTATTTTATCTGGTGTATTTTGTCATCTGAAACACCCATTTCTCACCTAGAACGTTCGTTGCTAGCTCAGATTGCTCACCTTGTGCTTGTCTTTCACCCCTAGGATGCAGCGCCATGCTGATGCCATATTCACTGACAACTACCGGAAATTCCTGGGGCAGATTTCCGCCCGTAAATTCTTACAGACGATCATTGGCAAGCGGCTTGGGTAAGCCAGTGTTTTGCTGTCCTAGGGCTAATGTGTTGCTTATTACACTGGGCAGTTTCTTTTGTGCATATAGCAGAAATAGCTGCCTTCCACTGCAACAGAAGCAATCCCTCCTGCTGTTCCACACCCCAAAGGGCATTCTGCATCTCTGTCTTGGATCCCCCTAATTGCAACAATCATTAAGCACCCTAATTAATCCTTTCCTCCAAGGTTATAAGTGTCAGATCAGCTGAAAGCTCTACCTTAATATCAACAAGCAATAATATTTGCAAATAATAGTTGCAATGATCATTCACTGGTGGGAAACAGTTATGCCTGGCCTGGTTTGAACACAGAAAACAGCCTCTCCACTGCCACTTGGGTAGCTTTGGTTAGATCAGTGATTGCCACTAAATAAGACCAATTAGTCAGATGTGAGCCAGCTCCAATCCCTCTTCTGGCACTGGAGCAGGTACAGATGACCAATTTCTTACTGAAATTAAGGAGAATAGCCCTAGGCTCATACCCAGCAGGTTCCCTGGTGCTGCTCAGCCTGAGCCAAACTTTGAGCAAGGGACTAAAAAGCATCTCTGAAACAAAAATGTTTCTCATCTTTGCATAACAGAAGCAGCGAGAGCAGCCCAGGAGAAGGGGTGCACGAATTTCTGACAAGGCGCCAGTCTGACAGCATCCTGATGGACAGCCGCTACCACCAACAGATGGTACTAAGGGACTTCCTGGGAGCCATTCTGCAGAATCAAAGGTAGGCGAGAATCAGCTCATTATCTGCTCACTGCAGGAATAAGACAAAGTCCTTACTACTGTCTGGCTTCCAGAGGTAAAGCTACTGGATTAATTATCATCTTTCAGGTATGCTCAGGGAAAGAATTAAGCTCTTGCCTGAACCCCTAACCCAGCCCTTCCCTTATGTTGGCAAATAGGTTGCAGATAAGCAACAGCCCACACAACACATAGTAGCACATCACTGTGCTGTCTTCTCAACCCCATAATTCAGTAAAATAGCAGTGGAATAAAAGAATTAATCTCCAATCATGTCATCACTGTCCTATTCCTTTCTTGCACAGGCCTCAGGACATCAACAGCAGTCGGTTAGAAGGCTTTCCTAGCACCCTGGCTAAGCTCATGTAAACACTTCTCCATTTTTCATCTCCCCGTGCTCTGGTGAGTACCATTCCCTGCTCAATTCTGTACATAACACGCTGCTTCTGCATTGCTCAGGTGGTTTGAAGGCTCTCCTTCAGTGAAATTAGCTCCCACTACTGCCCATGAAAAAGGGTGCTTGCTGCAATTTAAGGGAAAACAACTCCCCATCAATTTTGTCCAGTACCTAAAGTCCTGTTAGTCTGAACAGATAGACCACAAGTGCTGTGGAGCTACATGTGGATGTCTGGGAACAGGCTTGGAGCAACCAAAAGCAGCTTTGTAAAGCTATCTGAGATGGTGTGCCCAACAGACTAAAGTCTTTCCCCAGGAGCAGAACCTGCCTCTAGATCCCTGGGACGTTTCAGGTTTTCCCTGCACTGAAGAGGAGAGGAAGTCTTACTGTTTTCTCTACCCCTCACTTCTGAAAGTAGTCACCTGGAACTTGAATTACACTCTTAAATCATGCCAGCCCTGGGAAACTGAGAGTCCATCCTTGGGAATACCTTCACTCATACAAACATCAGTTGTCCTGTTTGAAACAACATCATCTTACTCTCTGTCCCATAGAGATTAAGCCTGTCCAACCCTAGTCAGCACAACATGAAGGGGTGTGGAGGGACCTGTGTGCATACTAAACTAAAAGGGGGCTGGGGAAGGGGGGGAGATCAGAACTTTACATAAACCATGCCTATGGATTCAGCTGGGAGAACATAGCATTTCAGCATCTCTCTTGCCATGCTTTACCTTTCCACAAATACGGTCAGCCAGGAAAAGCCTCCAAAGAATGAAAACCTTCTGCATGTGCTCACAAAGTTTTCTTGTAATTCTCTTTTCCTCCTGCTTCTGTCTAGAGTAATTCAGAGCTCCTGGATCTAACTGTACAGTAAGCCCTTCACAGCAATGAAGACATTCCTGGATGCGAGCAGCTGGAAACTGATGCACACACTCCTCAGATCTGTTTACTTCAGTCTTCACAATTTAACTTCCCTCTCTAATACTGGTCTGTGTACCAAATGAGAAAAGATACCTCTGTGGTTTAACCTCAGGCTGCTTTACATACAAAGACTAAAACAACCAGTACAGTTGTAATCCTGGGGACATACTGTCTACTAATTAAGGCTTTCGAATCACAAAGCATAGCAGAATTTCTGCCAAGTCATCAGTCTGAGGGCCTGATTAATAAACATGAGGCCACCAAAAGGTACCTTTAGGCAACTTAGTAAATTGATTACAGCCTCCTCTAAATAGATGCTGATGGCACAACCACACACGCAGCTCAGATGAGGGCAAGGCAAGACATGAATCCACACATCTACCACCCATTAGAAACGCTGTTGTTGTCTAGCTCCTTGACACAGAGCCCTGGCAGCAAAACTGAACTCCGAGAAGCTCAGCTACAGTTACTGTTCAGCCTTGAGGTGTTCATACTGAAGCTCCAGCTCTGCTTGGCAAGAGTTAAAGGAGATCCCCGTGCATCAGATTGGGCTGTCACTATGTTTTAATTCAACGTGCCATCCAGTGGCTCTGAACTCCACCGTGGCTAGAGTTACAACTGTAAATGTTTTCAAAAAAGTAACTTATTAACCCAGTGATCTCATGCAGCTACTTCCTTCCCTATCACCCCAATTCTCCTATTGTTTGTGTAATAATTATGTCTTCAGAAATGTAAATAACATCAGGATGGGGTCTGCTTTCCCATCATTAGCAGGAAATAAACGTCGTTCTAAATAAACCTGTCCAACAGCAGGTCAAGATGACTCTTTGTTGAGACACTAGTTTCTTGATTCTAGGCCCAGAATGGAAGATGTTGCTCAAAGACAGCAAAGTGCACTTAGGATGACTCAGAGCTGTGCTAATGAAGGTGCCAGGTCCAGTACTAATAATATGATGCCAGGTTGGAAATAGTGTCATGCAAACATATATCAAAGCCTCTGAAATCATCCCTCCTTGCACCTGAACAATTCATTGATAGTCTGCAGTAAATACCATCTCATTTTTCCTCAGGTGACCATATTTCAGATGGTAGGTTTCAGTATGCATGGAAATTGATTCATACTTGCAACAGATCCCTACAGATTACATTCTCCCTGTTCAGACTTTACAGTTCCAGCACTATGAAAATATTACTGCCCAGTGGGATGGAAAGCAATGAGGGGATGTCAAGAGAGATCAGTGAAGCTGACAGCAAGTGCACTGATGGGTAATCTGTTACCCTTCCACGGGCAGGGAGCTGTCAGTGAGATATCAGGCATCCTGCCTCACAGTACAGCTGTACAGAGAACGCACAAAAGAAAAAACAACCTGAGTAGGCCTGGTTCAAAATGTTTTTAAACCTGTTCTGTAACAACTAACACACTTGAAGCCATTAGGAGTTACTTGCTCCAAGGAAAGAAATTATAAAAAAAATGAAGTAGCTTCCTAAAGTAGTAAGTAAACACCATAGCAAAAACACCCCTATAATCCTGTTAAGTGACATGAAAGCTATATGCAAACCTAGATTGGATACTGCTAATAAATCAAAAGACCTATCAAAAACACTTTGGAAAGACTTAAGTCTGCATGATTAAACAGATGGGTGAGTGCAGCTATCTGCAATAAAAGGGACTCCTCTGAAAGTTCAGTTTGCATCAAAATGAGGAAACAAACACTCAAACTCTGGGAGATTAAATACAAAACCAAATAAAGCAAACTAGAAAACGTCTGAGGAATAAAAGGTCAAAAGAATAAAAACAATCTTTCTTAACACTTAGCCAAGGAGGTAAAAAATCAACAGCAAGACACACAGCTTAGAGAAGATACATCACAGTAGCACTCCATGGTTTTCTTTTTGCATCTGTGCTCTCCTTGGATAACGTGCCAGAGCTCTACAGGCACAGGGGAAGTACTGTCCTAGCACCAGGGGGAAAAAATTAGTTATGAAACAAAGCTGATTAAGCGAGCAAAATATGAGGCTCAAAAGAAGAGTGAAGAGGAATTCCAGGGTAAAATACTACAAATAGCAGCTTAAACTATTTCTTGCTTAAAACTCTTTTAGTCCCAGAGGGTTGGAATGCAGCATGAGATCAGGTTTTTGAAGGAGTGCAGGAGGTGAAAGGAGTAGCTCATTAAAGCTCTAATGGCGTTCAGTGTAATGTTCACAGTGAACAAACAGGCAGGAACTATTACAGAGAACAGAAACAGTGAGCTAAGTGTGAACAACTGCAGTGGGGAAGAGGCAAGATGGCTTTTATAAAGTGGAGTCATGTCTCACACATGTGAAATTCTCTGGAGGATTCAGCTCCACACCCTTTATCCACATGCTTGCTGGCTGATATAATTTTTTTGGATTTCCAAAAGATATTTGATAAAGTTCTTTTGCCAAAAAGCCTTTAAAGAAACTAGTCTGACACAGGACAAACAGGAGCCAACACAGAGATGCAAGAGAGGGAGAAACTTAAGTTTCAAGTTGCTCATCAGATGTCGGCCTTTGGTTATTACTGTCAGCATGTCCTTCAATAAAGCCCAAGTCTGCTGCCTCCACACTGCTTAGTGGTGCTGAAGGTAGTAATTAATTGAGAAGTTAGAGCTCAAGCAACTCAAATGTGGCCACATTGCAACCAGCAGATTCCTGGCATTTAGTTTCACAGAACAGAGGCAATAACCTCAATCAAACTTGTATTTGGAGTGAAACGGCTACTTCTAGATGCTGTAAGGAAATGAAACCCCTCAAGGGATCCACCAAACCTGCCAGGGTCAGACACAGCCAGGCCCGCCAGCACTGCAGCTGGCTCTGAGCAAAGGCCAGGCCCCCAGGACTCCTCCTGCCTGAGCCCCGCAGGCCCACAGCAACTCAGCACAGCCCAGCCTGGCGCCATCCTGAAGTCAGAGAGAACTGTCATGAGCGGAGAAATGCAGATGACAGTGGCACACAAGGGACAGGCAGGGGTGGGAAGTCCTCCCCAATAACATGTCCCTCTGGGAAAGGACATGAAAGAACAGGAAGCTTCACACAGCAATGACTCACACAAAATTACCCACCAGAAAAAGCTCTTTTCATTCTCATGTGAGACCAACTTCCAATCACAGCCTCTGAGACAGCCAAAAAACAAAATTCAGGACCATTCTTTCCTCTTTATTCACAAATCTTGTAGGATAAGGAGAGGAAATTTGGGGAAAGGCAGAAATGTATTTTCTTCTTCCTCTTTTTTCTAAAGGAAATTCAAATGTCCTGCGAGAAAAAGGGGGTAGGATCCAGGGAAGAAAGGATTTTCTAGATCCATATGAAGTATGGAAGTAGCATGAACACAACGATGAAAATCAGGTTTTTAAAAAAGTATAACTGGCACCCTTTTGACTTAATATAAAAAAAAATTCTGCTTCTCCCTTCCTTCTTCTGGTCTTACAGTTATTTAATCACTTCTGTTCTGAAGGCATTTGCTTTGTTTTTCCCCATTTCTTCCATTCTTCTGGTACTAGTGTGTCCTGGAAAGAAAAATCAAAAAAATTAACTCTTCCAGGCAACAAAGCACTTTCTTGTACAGTGTCCCCAGAACCCTCATTCTCTCTCAAAGGAACTTTGTCAGATAAGCTTCCTTTGAGAAGCTTATCAGGATCATAAAATCAGTACTGCAATGGAACTAAATTCAAGGATGGAAACAGTCAGACAAAATGAAGGTTAATTTCTGGTGCAAAAGGGATGAATGAGCCTTGTAAATTACAGAACTGAAGAAAAAAGCAGGGCTGAATGGAAAGCCTGCAGGTACCTTAACCACTCTTTTACTTTAAATTGGGCCAATCTATCCACTTGGAATCAGCTGGTCCATGTAAACACAAAGAAAATATCTTCACATCCCCAGGAAGATGAAATTTGCTAACGAGAGCACAGCAGACCCATCTTTTTGGGGTTCTCTTCCAAGATTCCAGACACAGGCATAGCCATGGGTGCTGAGCACCTGACAGTCCATTGGTAACAATACTGATGTTTATCTGTGGCATCAGAAAACCCAGCAATAAGGACAAATGCTTGTGACTGCACATGGCAGCAAAACTTAACTTACAGTTTGTGAATAAGTTATTTGCAAGATCTTCCAGGATTACTCACAGCCCAGAGGGAATTAAGCAGTTAAAATACGGGCTGAGAAACAGAAAACATAAAAGCTGTGGAGAACACACTTGTGAGGAATTTGGTAACAGGCCACTAAAAAGTTGAAAACCACTGGACCAAAGCTGTGGTAAAAAAAGCATCCAAGGACCAGAACAGCACCAGCAAACATGGCCAGGATGCAGCCAGCATTCACCTACTAGAACAAGCCACAGCCATCTCCAGTTACTCATCATAGCTTGTTCTGTGCTCAAATACCTCAAAACACTCTGGGGAGAGAAGAGATAGTAACAGGGTGTTTTTCTATGGGACATGATGCCAAATTCTCCATAGGTAATTTTCATTAAACCATCCTTGATGCTATCTGATCTGCAGACAGGAGCTTACCCCACAGTGCATGCTGTTTCTGTGATGCAGCCACCCACTTTGGTTTTGTTTTGCACCACAAAAAACGAACTCTCTTCACTACACTGTGTGTGTGCATGAAGCACTATGAGCATGAGACATGAGATGTACCAGTGCAGCACGTTGTACAGTGATTTCAGTCTCATCACAGAACTTGTCCCAGATGCTCTCTCCCTTCCCCATAATAAAACAGGGCACTGAATGAGGAATGAAGCCACACACACACCTTCAGAACTGGGCAGCATGCAAAGTGGCAGGCAGTCCTGTTCCTACGCCACTGTGGATAGAGCAAACTGGGACCTTACCTGCTCAGAATGAAAGGAAACGAAGGGCTTTGCACTGGTAAGTGATCATGGAGACCTATCAGATGATTGTATTGAATAGAGGGGGCTGGCTGCTGCCACCAACGGAGCCACACTGACCAGTTCAGTCTAATGGGAGGGCGAGCCCTGGATTAGGTCATGTTCTCAGCTGAACTGAGGTGGTGCTGACCTAGCTCTGCTGCACACGGAGTTCTCGCCACCCCAAGAGAGGATGTAATTCAGCAGTCAGAGTGCCTGGCAGATGAATAACCAGAATACTGCAGATGGGGATAGGGAGTACCAACAGCAGGATGGGAACAGCCCAGATATCAGTCATATTCATCATGTTCTCCTCCAGCCAACATTGCTAATAATTTACTACAGGAACAATACTGCTTAAACTAGATTTATTTCATCACCTGATCAGCATACTCACATGTGCACATATTACCATACAGACTTCAGACGATT